TACTCTTCTTAATTTAATTTATTGTTGGTGGTTTGGATTGGTACAGCCTTTCTGTTTCAGTTCTTAGGAGCTGTGTCAAGATTTTTGGTGAAGATATGCACAAAATTTAAAGAAAGAATGCAGATAATTAATAGTCACTTAATGGAGAAAATTTTATAAGTTGAACATAGACTGCATTTTGTAAATATTAATTTTCATATCATGTTTAGTAATAAACAAGACTTCAGGGAATTTGCTAATGCTGGACAATTATCTTAAGATATGAGTTTTACATGGGTGGTAGGTGATCTTTTTACCATATAACTGGTCTTCCCTACTATTCATCATCTTATAAAAAGACTGACCCTGAGAAAGATAAAGGAAATTTAGATGGGCAGTTAGGGGAAGGAATTGTGAGCTGCTACATCAATGCTCTGTCTTTCCTGAATATTGCTGCCTAGACACATTGTTCATGCAAGCTCAAGGACAGTCTTGTTGATGAGAAAAGTTGCATTCTAGGCACAAGAATAAAGCCCAATAGAAAGTGTATGAAAGTAGTCCTGAGCTTGTGGATCTGAGAGAAGCAACACCTAGGAGTGATTTTCTAGTTATATTTGGTGTTTATTTCCCTAATGCTATCATCAAAATTCCAGGAAAGCCTTATAAAAACTATACCCTTATCCCCAATTAAAAAAGATATAATACCAATATTACTTAAATTTACCTGAACAAGAATAAGAAGGAAACACTTTCCGGTTCATTTGATGATGCCAGCATCACCAGGTACATAAATGACCAGCAATTTACTGTACATATACATCAACAAATACTTAAAAGAACAAATAAATTCATTAGTATATAAAAAAGATAATACATCATATCCAAGAGGGATTTAATTCAGGAATACAAGTTTGGCTTATTATTTATAATCCAGCAATGTAAATCACGACATTAACAAAAGAAAGTAGAAATACATATAGTCACAACAGACGTAGAGGAGAGTTAATGTAATTAAACAACTATTCATGAGGAAATGCTGAGCAAACTAGGACTAGAAGTGATAGAGCGTATAAAATGAAGAACTCAATTACTTCCTTCTTTCTGTATAATGAGTTATCAGTAGCACGGAAGACTGAAGCAATGGAATTTTAGTTAAGAGGAGGACAAGCTTTATTCTTTTGATCAATTTAAATCAATTACTTCAGAGACTGAGGCTGAGATTAAGTATATATATATATATATATATAAAACCTATGAATAGAGATAGTTTAACTTCTTCTTTCCGACTTGGATGCCTTTTATTTATTTTTATAGTCTAATTACTCTGGCTAGAACTTCCAGTACAAAAAGACCAGCAGTGGTGAAAGCTACATCCTTGTCGTCCTTATCTTAGTGGAAAAGTTTCAATCTTTAACCATTTAATATGTTATCTGTGGATTTTTCATAAATAGCCCTTTTTCCTTTCATTATAGCATTTATTTGCTTGAGAAATTTCCCTAATATCCCTAGTTTACTGAGAGTTTTCATCATGAAAGTGGGTTTGAATTTGTCAAATGCTTTCTCTGTGTTAATTGAGATGATCATGTGGTTTTATTTCTCTATTCTATTTATGCTGTGTATTGAACTGACTGGTTGTCTTAAGCCACACTTGTATTCCTGGAAAAATCTCACCAGGTCATGTTATATAATCCTTTTAGCATGTTGTTGGATTCTATTTACTAATCTTTTGTTGAGGATTCTACCAAATATTTAAGGAAGCTCTAACATCAATTCTTCTTAAACTCTTCTAAAAAGTAGAGGGAAAACTTCCAAACTAATTTTATGAACCCAGAATTTCCCTGATACCAAAGCTAGAGGAAGACACTACAAGAAAAGCACAGGCCAATGTCCTTAATTAACAGATTCATATTACTTTAAATCTGTAGTTCCTCAGGTGTATTGTTTCTGGGACTGCTATCTCCTGATCTTGATTTTGCTATGTGCTGTGTGAGGTCAGCTTCAATGAGATTGAGCTTTTCTAAAGTTGTATTTACAGGGCCGACCTACTGGTTAAAGTTCAGCATGCTCTGCTTCCCTGACCCGGGTTTGGTTCCGGGTCATGAAATCACACCTCTTGTCTGTCAGTGGCCATGCTATAGTGATGGCTCACATAAAAACAGGAAGATTGGCAACAGATGTTAGCTCACGGTTAATCTTCCACAGGAAAAAATATACATATATATATATTTTTACAGAATTGTTCCATGATCGATTCTTCATTTACAAAAGAGAACCATAACCTTAGAAGCACTATAATGATGGTGAGCCACAAATTTGAAGAAACCTGTGACCCTATATTACCATGTGCAGTAGAGCTACTCAGTGTTAAAGAATGTATTTTTGACCATGTTCTAATGAGAAATAATCATCTACTGCATCAAGTCACTGGTAAATTTCATCTGTGTCTTTAATGGCATGGTGGATAGAGTTACCAAGATTAATGAATATATCATCTTTTTCATAAACTGATATTTTTAGGAAACATATTACCGAAAAATGTTTTTCAGATTCAATAGTAAATATGAACATCTGAGGGCACTGTACTTATATTTAAAAGGCCAAAGCAAATTTCTAACAATACCAATAACGTGAATAGAAAATGAAGTTTACAACGTATTACTAATAAAGGAAAAATAAACAACGTAACTTTTAACTTAGGCAATTCTATATTTAGAAACATGGGAAGATAAATATACCTTCAAGGGAAATTAGAAAAAATAAACTCAACATGGATTAATAATAGCTATCTCTACCATTGTCTTATAGATAATTTTTCCCTTGCATATTTCTGTTTTCTACATCGAAGTAAAGTTAAAATATAAACAGTCTTGCTTATTTCTCTTAAGATTAATTGAGTACAGGTGATAATAATGCCCCAGGGCTTTGGGAAAATAATATACAGCAAGATATCACACGGGACAGTGTTACATCTAATTACTTGAATTACGATCTTTAAGGCAATACCTCAGTGATGTGTTCTGGTCTCCACATCCCTAAAGTCTTGATGCCATATATTTGTAACACAGTTTGATACTAAGATTTAGTTTTCAGATATGATCTTATTTCTGATACTTTGGAGTTTTCTTCATAGGCTGAAAAAATGTTCCTTATACGAAATATTTAATCAAATATTCCGTGAACTTCTACTTTTCTTATCAATTGGTTTCTATCAATTAGATGTCAAGCAGGAGCCTCCTGGAGTTCAATAATCTTAGCAAAGAATTCTTCAGGAAATGAATCACTCAAGAGCTACCTTATGTAGGTGAGTTCATTAAGTCTTTTGTTTTACTTTAGAAGGAAAATATGGAGTTCCAGTGATCTTTGGAGTAGACAAACACATGTGTAGAACAAAGTTCCAACAAATCCACGTAGTTTGGCTAGGAGAGGGCTTATAGTATTATAATCTGATTTCTTATCTCTTTAAAATGATATTCATTCTGGTTTTCTCATTGGATAGCCACATTGTACCAACAATGAAGTAAACGTTATGGCAAATAGAGAATAACAAAAATTGGCCTTGTCTTCACACTTTCTATAATCTCTGAGGAAGTAAATGACAATAATAACCATATTTGTAGATTATAGGATACAGCATACGGTTTTTGTAAGTTATAATTTTAATGTTTATGTGTATACAAAGGAGAAGAAACAATGCTCTGTCTTTCCTGAATATTGCTGCCTAGACACATTGTTCATGCAAGCTCAAGGACAGGGTTGTCTAACCCTAACCCTAACCATAACCCTAACCCTAACTGGATGGCAATATTCAGTAGTACAATGAGACATCATAAGAATGAGAATACAATGATAAAATAAACTATATGTAAATGAGAATAAAATGATAAAATAAACTATATGTAAATGAGCAGGTGCTATGGACTACAGCTTGATAAATCCATCATGACTAAAAAAATATATATGTTAAGTGGTAAAGAGCTCTAATTTATAGAGGCAAGGATTCTTGGTAAAGCCAAACTGAACAATATAAATTTTATGCATTCACTAATAAAAAGTATTTGGAATCTTAAAAGTAATTGGTGGTCAGGTTAAAGCAATCATGGAAAATTATTCTCTCCATGTTGCATAGAATATTGCAAATTGAAGGAATGTTCCTGGGAAAAATGGCCATAATCTAGCTTTGCAGTACTAAGACCATGTAAAAGATTTTATAGAGGATGTGTTGTGGGTTAGTTTTTGAAATATATTTTTCCTACAGACAGAAGCATGTAGGAGTCAGAGAAAGCTATAGTCTAAAGAAAAAACCTATAGGAGAATCGGGAATATTTATTATCCAACTTCATTGAAGTACTCAGAGAAATCCTACAGTATTTCTATTGTGTGGTTTCTGTAGGAAAGAACTTCTACATTGTATTCCCAAATGTCCCCACCACTTGATTGCTGTCCATGTTCAGGCCTGAATTTCACAACCAAATAAGGTTTTTGAAATCATACCAATTATTTCTAATTACAGTAACCAAGAAAGCTGAATATCTACCATGTGTCATACATGTCGTATAGCTTTTAAATTCAATATTAAAGTATCCATTTTCTTTCTAGTGATTTAAATTTTATATTATTAATATTCTCATTTCACTGTTGAAGAAATGCTTACTGGTATCAAGTAATATTCAAGAAATATTATAGTGTCCTATTTGAGATGGGTTTATACCCTGACACCAGTCTTTGGAAAAGCTTTAAACTTAATATAAAAGGACAGAATGTATTTTCCTTACAGCCTGAAATTTATATCCATTGGCCAGGGCTTTCATAGTTCTTATTGTTTGTCACTACGCTACTTCCAAAATTTACTACATTGAAAACAGAAGGACTTTTTGTTAAATATTGTTTTTACTATTATCACTGAAGACACAGTACATATTTTACTGTGATCACCTCTTGATGAATAATATAACATTGCATGGATAATAACATTTATTTTCAAAATTAGTTCAACGTGAGCGAACCAAATAAATATTAAATTCATGATTTTGTAGGGATGTTAGAGATTTAAACAAAAATGTTAAAAAAATTTTGATAGATATAAGTTCATTGTCTTACAGCTTAAGAGGTGAAGCGGGGAAGAAACTATAGAAACTTGTATGTATTTCCTCCAGTGCGACGATTTTTACTAAGTTCAGATTCAGAAGAGTTAGAGCAGACCTTCACGTGAAGTCAGCTGCCTATGATTGCCCTGAGATTCATTATGCAAAATAGAGCAGGGTCTACTCAGTTTTTTGTTCTTCCTGTTTTTCCTTCTCCTAGTCTTGTTTTTGGTTATTCCACTCACACAGAATTCTTATTCACTGTGTAATTTTTATATAAGTGAATATTAACTTTTGAAAAAATATAACAGTGAAAATCTATCATTTTCAGCAACACTCGTAAAGACACCCATTGAACCTCTCGACATTTCTTCTATTCTCTTACCTATTTCGAGTTTTAGTTCTTACTACTCTTGATCAACTTTCGTATTTTGTCCACAGGAACCAAGAAAATCACAGTGGTGGAGTCACTTTTGTTCTTTTGGGCTTCTCAGAATATCTGAAAACCCAGTTGTCTCTGTTTCTAGTATTTCTGTTCATCTACACAGTCACTGTGTTGGGGAACCTGGGCATGATCGTGATTATCAAGATGAATCCCAAACTCCACACCCCCATGTACTTTTTTCTCAGCCACTTATCCTTTGTTGACTTCTGTTACTCCACAGTAGTTACACCCAAACTATTAGAAAACTTGGTTGTGGAAGATAGAACCATCTCCTTCACAGGATGCATCATGCAATTCTTCTTAGCATGCATATTTGTGGTGACAGAAACATTCATGTTGGCAGCAATGGCATATGACCGCTTTGTGGCAGTTTGTAACCCTCTTCTCTACACAGTTGTAATGTCTCAGAAGATTTGTTCCCTGTTCGTGGGGGCATCATATTCTTGGAGTATAGTGTGTTCTTTAATATTCACATGTTTTTTGCTGACCTTATCCTTTTGTGGGACTAACTTCATAAATAACTTTGTCTGTGAGCATGCTGCCCTTGTTGCTGTTTCCTGCTCTGATCCCTACATTAGCCAGAAGATCATTTTAGTCTCTGCCACATTCAATGAATTAAGCAGCCTGATAATTGTTCTTACTTCATATGTTTTCATCTTTATCACTGTCATGAAGATGCCTTCAACTGGAGGGCGCCGCAAAGCCTTCTCCACATGTGCCTCCCACCTGACTGCCATTAGCATTTTCCATGGGACCATCCTTTTTCTCTACTGTGTTCCTAACTCCAAGAGTTCATGGCTCATGGTCAAGGTGGCCTCTATCTTTTATACAGTTGTCATCCCCATGTTGAACCCACTGATTTACAGCCTTAGGAACAAAGACGTGAAAGAGACAGTCAAGAAGTTAATCGCTGCTAGATTGTTCTTTGATAAAATGTAAACCTAGAAACATTAATTATTTATTTTTGAGAGCATTAGTAAGAGTTATTCAGTAGCAAAGCAGTACATGAATCTATGGTAACCTTGCAATTGACAGTCCAATATCGTTTCCCCCTAATTTTTAGTAAGATAATCTTAACATTACAAATACTGTTAGGGATGAAAGCTCAGACTACTTAACCTACATTTTTGATTCAAAAATTGGAATGTAAAGACTTCTGTGTTAGTACAGATGACCATATGATTGCCAAGGTCAAATTTCAGTCAATTTAAGTCATGTGAAGTGTAAGACTTTTGGTATGATCTGAAGGATTATAGCATACAATGAGAAAGTTTACTTCTTAATATAAAAATAGTACATTAAGAGCTGTTCAACATAAAATTAAATCTCTTAAAAATCCATATTTTCAATTACATAAGATCCATCTTATCATCTGCAGATTCCCAGACAAACAAAAATAAATAAGAAATATGTCTCCCTTCAAAACTGCAATAGATCCAGCCCTGATGGCCTAGTGGTTAAAGTTTGGTGCATTACACTTTGATGGCCCAGTATTGATTCCTGGGCCTGGGACGACACTACTCATCTGTCAAGAGTGATGCTGTGGTGGCAACTTACGTAGAAAAACTAGAGGTATCTACAACAATAATATACGGCAAAGTACTGGGACTTGGAGAAGAAAAAAAAAAAAACAGAGGAAGATTGGCAACAATGTTAGCTCAGGGACAATCTTTTTTTAAAAAAAAAAAAAAATCCAGAATATGGTGTAATTAAATTGCAACTGGTAGTATAACCAAATACAAAATATCATTTTCTGTATGTACTGGCACAAGAGAATGATACACATTTTGGAACTATGTGCCCATCACTCTAGTTTTTCTCCATTATGTCAATGTGACTGCACATTTTACTTATTTACTTATTTTTTGGAAAATTCATTGAGAAAATTTTAGATTCATTTTAAGTTTTAATAAATAATACACAGAAATTGTAATATCTTTTACCCACTTTCCCCCATGATAGGACAATATAGCCACCAGAACATTGATAATAAAATACTCAATCTTATTCAGGCATCAGTTATTTATTGATGAAAAACAATCATGAATTCCAGTGGGATGCAACAATAACAATCCTTTGCATTAATGACTCAACTGAAGTGACTCTGCTAATATCAGCTGGGTCCCTTGAGTGCCAAGATTGAGATAACCAGATTAGCTAACATTCAATCTACCCATCTCTATGTGTATCATCTTCATTGGACCATTTGGTTAGTGGTCTACGTTGAATGCTGAGTGGCAGTGAAGTATGCCCAACAACAAAAGCATATATCAAGCTCCTGTTGGGTCTCACCTGCTAACATCTTAAGAGTCAAAGCAAAACATAGGGATAAGCCCACAGTCAGTGTGAGAAAGTTACCTGCCACTTATAGAACTATAACGTTGCAATTCAAAGCTCATGGGTTTAGGGAAGGTGTAGAATTTGGCTCAATATCATGCAAAGATTGATGAAAACATTTACCTCATCAAACATATTCTTCTTTGACAATAACAGATAACTCTATGGCAGATAACAGATAGACCCTGACTGGGACCAGTTTTAACAAAGCTTTTTAATAATTGACAGGTAATTGTCTGCTTTAAGCAAATGACTAGTTGAGATTAAATATAAGACTTTGCCTTTTCTACTTGTGTCTTACTAATCATAATGAAGGTTTACAAGTGGAGAGTAGAGAGATATCCATGTGTTGTGGTTCTAATTCGAGAAAATAAGTGTTACGTGTTTTGTCCCATGATTTAGAATTTCATTTGCATATGGAAACTGCTCTTTATCAGAATGCTTTATCTCAAATCATGTGTCTTATGTAACTTACTGTTTAGGGATGTAGAAGAAAATTGGCAATACTCATAATGTATCATGATAATGTGTCACGATAGTAACAATGCATTGAATTTAATTTTTAATTGTGTATCAACCAAGAGTCATAAGTAAATGGTCCTATCAAGCACTTTGAAAGTGTGTGTGTATGTATGCATAGTTTAATAAAAATATTTTGAGGACACAAAAAGGATTGAGGAAATTTGACCATGTTTCATGGAATATTTGGTATGATCAGTAAATTTTCTAGGGTAAAAATTATAAAACATGGTGGCACAGTGGTTGAGTGTGCAGGTTCCGCTTTGGTGGCCTGGGATTCGCCGGTTTGGATCCCGGGTGCAGACGTGGCACCGCTTGGTACACCATGCTGTGGCAGCCGTCCCACATATAAAGTAGGGGAAGATGGGCATATATGTTAGCTCAGGGCCAGTCTTCCTCAGCAAAAAGAGGAGGATTGGCAGCAGTTAACTCTGGGCAAATCTTCCTCAAAAAAAAAATTAGAATGCATTCTTTTAAAATATTGATTTTGAAATTATGTAATATAATTTAGTACTCTAGTTTTGTGTATTTTAGTTGAAAATAAAACAAAAGCAAAAAGGAAAGAGTGAATAGTTGCAAAAGCCTTTTAGAACAAGATGTTCTTTTATTTTGGTAAATACTCGAATGTGCAGTTCATTTAGACAAATGTAAAGCAACATGTTTTCCCCAAAATTCTCAGGTTGTACTTTGAGCCTGAAAGTAGGTATTTTAACTACGAAGTTACATGCATGTTAGATAATATGTTGCTTCACTAATGGTTGCATTAAGTAATGAGTACAGGCGTTTTTTTTCTACCAATGGATTTATATGCTACTCTTCTTCTAAAATTTTGAATGTAGTAGGTATAAATTTGACCTTTTCTTCCTTGAAGACCTGTGGCAGGAGAGGTCAATATTTACCACTACTGTCTTTCTGATTTGTGTCTTAGAGGAGTAGGTGCAAGAATCACATAGATGGATTTAGAAAAAGAGCAGTCTGACCTTTATGGCTGAACTGAAGATTACAGCTGGATCGATAGCCAAGATAGAGATAAATTACACATCACCACTCTTCCAAACCCCAACTGAAGGCATATATATTTAGGATAAAACAAACAATAATCCTAAACAGTTGAAAGTAAAAGTACGTACAGTAAAATTTTAAATGTGTTTTCATATAAATACATGTACCAGTGCATGAGCAAAGTAAAGAGACTAAAAAAGTGTTTCGTGTCAACTATAGTTATGTGGGGGTCATTGTAATAGACATGACTATAATTTTTTCATGATTTTAAGTAGTATAGCCCCTATGCAGATGTAAATTTTTTTAAGACATAAATATCACCACATTAATGATTTAGAACAAATTATATTGTAAGTTTTAGAAGAAATCTGCTCTAATAGTTTTGTGTGTAGCTTGTGATAAGAAATGATGTCAAGATTCGCCAGCGCCTCTGTCCCAAAGTTGAGGTCGTTAGATATAAAACAAACAGCATGATCATGGAATATAATTTCCAGGTCTGTGTATTCCTCAAGAACATCTCTATGCTTCTTCTGAAATTTATTGACAGTTCCAGAAATGACATTTCTTGGTATCGTTATTGAATTATGTTTTGCAAGATTCATCCTGTCTAATTAAAAGGCTGGAACAATTTAAACAAAAATTTTAATTCTGAGATAGAATGTGTATGCAGCTATTAACATTAGCAAGGAAGTCTTCAATAAAGGTACATCAGGAATATCTGTCTTTTGGTGAATTGATTCCTCCTAGGATCGTCTCTTCATTGTGATGTGAGGGATATTGAAATCTAGCAAATTATTGACAAGGAAAACCTACATCAGCTGAGAAACAGTGATATCTCCTTAGTTTATGGTTATAACCAACAGGCTAAATTCTACTTTTATTATTCCCATGATCATTGTCCTAAACTTGAAAATATGTCTCTTAACTTTTATTAGGTGTTATGGAAGGAATTTTAAATGTAAGTCTTGTCCAAAAGAAGTGATATTCTTCAGGGAAAAATCCAAAAGACACATACAAATACATATACATAAAAACAGCAAATTATTCCAGGTGTTGTGTACATGTCGTGATAAGATGAGTGGAAAGAAAGTAGACTAAGAGAAAAGACATTTAGATTAGGCAGCTATATTTTCTTGGAAGAGTAAGGTAGTAACACACGAAGTGATGACACAGTGTAGAAGAACAAGGGTAGAGGTGCCATTTCAGAGGCATAAATAGTGGAATATTAGAAGATACACATGACTTGTTTTTGTAAAATAAAGATTTCAAACACTGCTGTGAATGCAGCAGTACTGTAGTGATGAAAGGATGTGGTTATATAGTTCCTGGAGATATTAGGGAAACCAGGCCAATGAGTTTCACTTTGACTCATATAGCACAAAATGCCTTCCAAAACACCTGCACTATTGCATTCCAGGCTGTGTGAACCAACAAAAGTTAATGTTATAGATTGACCTGCAGATTGGCAGCATAGTAGGAAATTTTACATCCAGATGAGTAGATAGTTGATAACAGTGGAAATGAAGAAGGAGTTATATTGTGAAGATTTCTCTTTTTTAATTTTCCTCTAACTGCCTTTCCCACAATAACAGACACAATATGGCAAAACAGAGTCAGAAAGAACCACATGGAGTTAGAAGAACAAGGGAAAATGAAGATTATATAGTGGTGGATTAGAAATGGATAGAATTGTGAATCCCAGACTGAATGAAAAATCTGAAATTAAAAGAAATCAAGAATAAAAGTCCCTTTTAAAAATAGCTTTCCAAATTTACACTGCAAAAGCATCTACAAACTTGGAATGATCCTATTTTCTTGGAGATCAACGGCATCAAAAAATCAAAGTGGAAGAAAGCTGATATTGTGGACTCTTTAACTAAGTGTAAGATTTCTTTTCAGAAATTGCAAAGGCATGCTTCATTTAATATGCTCACATTAAATATTAACTGATTTAGCATAGTGTCATTATCCACATTTTGAAGATGATAAAATTGAGGCTCATAAAATTAAACAAGTTGTGGAGGAGTGACTTCAGCATCATAGCAGAGAGAATATTTTCAGTAATGTTTCCCCTCTAATAT